CATGCCAGTTAGACTGGCCAACATTTTGAATTCTAACAACAACTAATGTAGGCAGGGATATGGGGGAAAGAAACCCTCCGGCACCACCAGTGGGAATGTAAACTAGTGCAACCACTCTGGAGAGCAGTCTGGAGATTCCTCAAAAACTAAACATAGATCTTCCTTATGACCCAGCCATACCACTCCCAGGCAGGTACCCTGAGCATCATAAGCCAGGATATGACAAGGACACCTGCACATCCATGGTCATCACCGCACTTTTCACAATAGCCAAGAGAGAGAAACAGCCCAGATGCCCCACATAGATGCGTAGCTATGTGCAATGCAATTTTACCCAGCCGTTAGAAAGAATAAAATTATGTAACTTGCAGGGAAATGGATGGGACCACAACAAATCATGTTGAGTGAGGGAAGCCAAGATCAGAGAGACAAATGACACATGATCTCCATGGTATGCAGAAGTTAGATCGAAAACATCAGGAATATGTCAGTTTGCACAGCATTCTAGATACTCCTGTACATTGAGATCAAAAGAGCTGTAGGAGAGAATCACAAAGCCCCTCTTCGTATGAATATAAAATGATATGCATGCTGAAATGAACCCTAAAGATATGGGAACAAAGGACTTTTTTTTTAAACGTGGCTTTTCTTTTTGTGATGGCTCTCTATTCTTTACCTTATATATTCATGCACACATCTATTGAATGGTAGGGAAAGGGTAGAGAGAACCAGAGCACAAATGATGAAAAAGTACAGTGGTGGAGTGCACTGGACACTATGAAAGTGAGCTGTGCAACTCACGGGTGGAAAGGGGAGGGAGGGAATGGGAGAGAACGAGGGAACAGAAGATGCTGTGTGAAAGGAAATGTACTTATTACCTGATGTAGGTAAGTGTTACCTGGCTGTACATCACCTCTCTAACAATAAAGTAAATTAGAAAAAAATAAAGGGGAAAAACTAGAAGTGATTCTTCTAGGAGATCAGCAGCCTTCCTCCTCTGTCACTCAACCCCCAGCCCCAGACAGTCACAGATACCTAATTCTGACATAGGCCCAACTCTACTGCATTTCTCCAACACCTTCACTGACACACCACACACACAGGAATCCCTGTGAAAGATCCTCTACTAGGAAGGAAAGAAACAAATGAGCTACTATACCATCCCCAAATGGGAGGCTGGAGGGAGTAGGGCACACAGCTGTGGCACCATCTGCTTACCGGATTTGGGGTAGCTCATTATGATGATATCCTCATTCTTCAGCACCATCTTCTCGTGGGCTTCTTTTATGAATTCAGGGTTGCTACCCACGGCAGGGAAAGGAATGCCCTGGTACCATAAATAGTCGCGAGCCATGGAGGAGCCCTGTGTGCCTGGTCTTGGTCACAGGTCACTGGTAGTGCCACCGGGGAGGAGGTATCAGAGTCTGGGTTTTTCATTCTGGGTGGTGAAGGCAATCATTAACATTTTTCATTTCATTTTGAAACAAATTAGATGATAAAGAAAAATGCAATGCTAAGGTCACGCGGTATTTTTATTGGGCAACTGTGAACTCCTTCAAGGGCGATCTGTGCTCATCAGATTGTCAGTTCTTGGCAGGGAACCTGAACTACAAGAGGAAATAGAAGGAAGCAGGCTTGAGAGCAAGGTTATTTTTAATTTGGAAATTTACAAATACTGAATTTTGGAGATAGGTGTAGATATCTCAAAAATGGTCAAGAGTGAGGTCTGGACTTCTGGCTTAAGGTCCTAGGATCATTCTACTCATACCACACAAAAGCTATGGGCAAGAGCACTCAAGGCATTTTTCTTTTTTCTTTTTATCGGTCATGGGGCTTGAACTCTGGCCCTAGACACTGTCCCTCAGCTCTTCAGCTCAAAGCTCATGTCTACCACTTGAGCCACAGTGCCACTTCCGGTTTTCTGGTGGTTTATTAGAGATAAGAATCTGGACTTAGCTCAATGGAAAGAGCTCCAGAGGAAGTCCTGCCACCTTCTCCCAGAGTATTTTCTCCAAGGATTTGTTCTGGGCTGTGGTGAAGTGGTTCTTCCATTTCCTGGGGATGCCTGGCGGCTGGAGAGAAATGCTGAGATCAGATGAGGCCCAGCGCACCAAGGACCCAGCCCCACCTGACTCCCCATCTTGGTACTTCCACAGCCACTGGGTCTCAGAGGGAAGAATTGCTGAGAAATGTGTGTGTGTGTGTGTGTGTGTGTGTGTATGTGTGCGCGTGCGCATGCATCAGTACTGAGCCTGAACATTGGGACTGAGCTTTTATGCTGAAGGCTACCATCCAATTAAAGTAAGAGGCTCACATATTTTCCTGCCTGTGCTGGCTTTGAAGTTGATCCTTTAGATCTCAGTTTCCTGAGTAGCTGGGATTACAGGGGTGAATTTTTAGCCAGCCAAGAACTTTACCAGAATCTCAGTGAATTCAATGGTGGATTTGGTATTGTCCAGGCCTCAAATCACTGAGGATTATCCTTTGATAGAGGAGACAAAACTGAAGATAGAACACCACGGGTCTGGGATCAGGGATATGCATTAGGACAAGCAATGAAGAAACAGGAAAATGCAAAGAAGTAAAACTTATCACACACATACACACACACACACACACACACACACACACACACACACACACACACACACACACCCCACTGGGCCACTATGAAAATACCAAACCTAAGAAACACAGGCTTAGCAGAAAGAGGATTTCAGTGTAACCCTGAAACCTAAAATTTCATGAAGGGAAATCTCTGGATAATAGAGACATAGGTAATAATTTCCTGCCTAGGGCTATCAAGCCTCTGCCAATGAGAAATGGAACAAATGAATGAATGTGCCTGCATAAAATTGAAAAAAAAAGTTTCTGCCCTCCAAAAACCAAAAGCAAACAACAACAAGAAGAAAGCAAAACCAGTCTGAGGATGAGAGAGAATCTTCAGCTGTTCAGGGGATGCAAGGCAATCATCCAGAATGGACTAAGAGCTTAACATTGTACAGACAATTATTTGATGGGCAATGGAATCAAAAAGCCATTCAGAGATGAAAAAATAAAAATATCTAATAAAGAAAGAAAGAGAACTGAGTGCTGGTGTCTTGTACTTACCCTCCTAGCTAATTAAATGGATGAGATTGGAGGATGGAGGTTTGAAGTCAGTTCTGGGCAGGAAAGACCGTGAGACTCTACTCTCCAATAAAGCAACAAAAGGCTCAATATGGAATTGTGGCTCAAGTGGTAAAGTACCAACCTTGAGGAAAAAGTTAAATATGAGCTTAGGGACAGCACCCAGGCCCTGAGTTCAGGGTGTAGTCTTGAAACCATGATCCTCTGATCTCCTCTGGAGTAGCTGGGATGAAAGGCGTAAGTCACTAACACTGGGCAGGACGCTTATTTTAAGGTGTATTTTAAAGTTCCCATGAAATAGCCCGGCGCCGGTGGCTCACACCTTTCATCCTAGCTACTCAGGAGGATGAGATCTGAGGATTGTGGTTCAAAGCCAGCCTGGGCAGGAAATTTTGTGAGACTCTTATCTCCAATGAACCACCAGAAAACCGGAAGTGGTGCTGCAGCTCAAGTGGTAGAGCACTAGCCTTGAGCAGAAGAGCTGAGGGACAGTGCCCAGCCCCGAGTTCAAGCCCCACGACCTACCTAAAAAACAAAAGTTTCCATGAAACAATCACTTGAATTGGAATAAAGAAAGGAAGGAAAATGCATTACATGATGTCTGTGGAATATGTATGGACCACGGAGAGGTTTCTAAGCCTTTCTGTAGAAAGCATCAACAGGTGATTGGAAAAATACATCTGGGTAGAGCCACTTGTGTGGCAGATAATGTAGAGGAGCCACAGGGTTTTGGCCCTTAGTGACCATGGATCAGAAAAAGTGCTCACCTCTGGAGCCAGGAGTCATTGAATCCAAGCTGGAGTTGCACCCAGAAAGTGATTGCTGGACACAAAACAGGACCTCTCTTCTGAGAACAAACTCCTGGACTCATCCACTCCTTGCCAGGCATGGGGAGCCAATAGCTGTGTATTCACTAAACCAGCGCTCTAGATCCCAGATGCAATGACCTTGAACTGTCCTTGAGCTGGTGGTCACAGCAAGATGACTTGGCATTTGGATGCCAGACTCTGATTCTTTGTTTTGGGGCATTACTCTGGAACTTCTCTTTCCTTTTATTCATTCATTCATTCATTCTTGGTGCTGGTGTTGTAGCTGGGCATTGTTCATCCCTATGTTGTTTGGGTCCAAGCTGGTAACACTACCACTTAAGCCACAGTTCCACTTATATTTCTTCTGTTGGCTTATTGGAGATAAACGTCTGGTGGCCTTGCCCAGCTCAGCTGGCTTTGAACCACAATCTTAGATCTCAGCCTCCTGAGTAGCTAGGATGACAGGCGGGAGCCTGGCTCATTTATTTACTTTGGATGGAATAAAGTTCAAAGAACAGGTGGGCAAGTTGTTCTGTATAAAGCATGTTTGTATGTTCCAGATGAGTTTAATGGTGGTTTTTGAAACTCTGGCATCCAGTTCCTCTGTGAGGGCCCATCTGTACGGGTCCACATCTTGGGTCTGAAGACTCTTACCTCTCGAACACGAACCTCAGGCCAAGGTGAACTGCTAAAGACAAATGTAGTTTGGCCTCAGCTTAAGGACTGCAATTTCGAGAATTACAGATAAAAAGCATTGATTGAGCCTGGCAACAGGTCTCTCACTTGTCATCCTAGCTAGTCAGGAGGTTGCGATCCGAGAATTGGAGTTCAAAGCCAGCCTGAGCAGGGATTCTGTGAAACTCTTATCTCCAATTAACCACCAAGAAGCTGGAAGCTGAGCTGTGGCTCAAGTGGTAGAGATTCAGCCTTGAACAAAAAACTCAGGCACAGTGCCCAGGCCCTGAGTTCAAGCTTCAAAACGTCAGCATTGTCTGAACAGTTATTGGGCACTGAGCACTGATCTTGGCCTTGGAAGTGAAGAAAGACTTGGGGAAGAGTTGGATGGTGAGGTGGGAAGAGAGGAGGCTGGACCCCACCTTCGTGTCTTGTATTATTTTAGATCTATGATTAGTCTCAATTCACAGGGTTGGATTCCAGATAGGCACAGACCGGATCCATTCTGGCTCCCCCTTACTGTGAATGAGACACAGGATCTCAATCATCCAGTTGGTTCCTGGAGACAGAAGGAAAGTGAATGTCACTCATTTCTATCTGAATTATGTAAAAACCATGGTGGTAAAATATACCTTACCCATAGACTCTGTGGCTGGCATGCAATCTTTGGTCACTCAACTTTAGTGTGTGTGTGTGTATGTGTGTGTGTACCAATTTTGTGTTTTCTTCACTGGTAATCAGCATATCCTATTTATTCCCTACAGCCTATTCTGACTATGCAGCTGTTTCTCTGAGGATATTGAGGAATACTACTCCACCCCTTGGCTGTTCCTGAAATCCCTTCAGTTCATCCTCCTGTCTCTTGATTTTCAGCACATTTCCTTTACTCGGTGCTCGGTGTGTGTGCTGAGTGCTCACCTCCTGCTCCCATCCCAGGCCTGAGTCACACAGTCCTCTGGATTATGGCCTGTTCTGCCAGGTTCTTGTGTTTATTGTAAGCTTTCCAGTTGCCATTGACTGCCTACATATTTTTTTCTTTTTGTGCCAGTCCTGGGGCTTGAACTCAGGGCCTGGGGACTTTAATTTAAAAAAAAAGAACCAAAAAAACAAAAGTATTCAATAGTTAGGAAATGTTAACACCCTCCACACCTTCCCCACACAACAGTGGAGATATGATTCAAGTGGTCCTGTGCAGCTGGATACTCAAGTCAAGCAAGTACAAGGCCCTGAGTTCAAATCCCAGAACTGCCCCCTACCAAATTAATAATTGAAAAGTTACATCCTCACTTGAACTTATAGGCACAGGCAGGAAATTCCTGAAGAGAGTCCCAGGGTCACAACAAATTGGAGAGAGATTCGACAAATGGGACAGCCTTAAAATAAAAAGGTTTTGCACAGCTACAGCTATAGCAACCAAGCTAGAAAGACAACTAACTAACTGGGAAAAATAGTTACCAGCAATATATCAGACAAGGGGTTAATATCTAGTATACACAAGGAACTCAAGAAACCATTCCCTCCCTAACCAAACAAACCAATTACTAAATGGGCAAGGGAACTAAAGAGAGACTTTTCAGATGAACAAATAAAAATGGCAAAGAAACACATGAGGAAATGTTCACCATCCCTGGTTGTGAAGGAAATGCAAATAAAGACAACCCTGAGATACCACCTTACCCCAGTCAGAATTTCCCATATCCACAAGTCTGCCAACGACAAATGCTGGAGGGTATGCGGAGAAAGAGGAACCCTGTTACACTGTTGGTGGGAATGTACACTTATAAAACTACTTTGGAAAGCAATCTGGAGGGTCCTCAGAAAGCTAAATATTGACCTCTCTTATGACCCAGTCATACCACTTCTAGGCATCTATCTTGAACAACAGAAAACAGTATACAAGGACATATGTACCTCCACATTTATTGCAGCACTGATCACAATAGCTAGGATATGGAAACAATGCAGATGTCCCACCACAGATGAATGGACCCCAAAATTGTGGTATCTATACACAATGGAATATTATGCATCCATTAGAAAGGACAAAATAATGGCATTTGCAGGGAAATGGATGGAGCTAGAAGAAATCATGTTGAGTGAGGTAAGCCAAGAGCAAAGAGACAAACGGCACATGGTCTCCCTGATAAGTGGATGTTAAATCCAAAGCGTAGGTGATATGACAAAATTAATAAGACTTAAGAAACAAAGGACTTCCACTCATCTGATCGAATCATTACTAAATAACCCCATGCTGCTGATCACATATATGGTATATATGTGCACACTGGAGGGAAACCAGGAGGACAACACAGAATTAGAAGGAATCAGGGAAAAATATACAACAGCGGGACCCATCAGCTGCACTGGACATTGACCAAAATAAACTAAGCAACACAATGGCAGCGATAGGAGGGAGGGAACAAGAGGGAAAGAGGGAATAGCTGATGCTATGCAAAACAAAAGAAATGTACGTATCACGCAATGCGGAAGAAACAACTGTATCGCAAAGATCATAGAACTCATAAATGTTATAGAGTATGATGGACAGTTTGCCCCATGATAGTTAGAATGTGTTTGTGACTTTAACTAAGCTTCACTATCCTACAATACTGTGAAATTTGGGAAATTATGTAGCCACTTAATCGCAATAAAGAATTTGAAACAAACAAACAAAAAAGAAACAAAAGAATAAAAAAGAAAAGTTACATCCTTAAGCGTTTAGCCTGGACTAAATAAAAAGTGTTAGAATTTGAAAGGTGTTCACAAGTGCTCCATAGGGAACTTTAAAAATATTGAGAAAAGCCAGGCACTGGTGGCTCAAGCCTGTAATCCTAGCTACTCAAGAGGTTGAGATCTGAGGATCATGGCTCAAAGCCAGCTCGGGCAGGAAAGTCCATGAGAGTCTTTATCTCCAATAAACCACTCAGAAAACCTGAAGTGGCGCTGTGGCTCAAGCGGTAGAGCAGAGGGACAGCGCTCAGGCCCAGAGTTCAAGCCCCATGACTGACAAAAAAAAGATGACCCTGCCTGCCTGGCTCTTAGTCCCAGGCCACAGCCACTACCACCTGGGAGGGGGTGGCAGAGTCTGGGTTTCATCCGGGTGCTGAACGTGGTCATTAACTGTCTTGGGCTCACTATGAAAGTAACCCGCTTGCTCACCATGGCTGGCTTCCTGGCCACCAGTAACCAGCCACCAAGCTGGCTGGCTTCCTTGCCAGGTACCTGTGAGGAGCTGAGAGTTAATTCTGGCAGAGGAAGCGGGGCTTCAGCAAAGAACCCCACGCATATGGAGGGTAGCGGGGGTCAAGGCGAACATCTGCTTCCCTCAAGCTCCTGGCGCATGGAGAGTTTCTCAGCCTTCTTTTCTTTGTCCTGACCTTGCAGATTTGAGGACCATCAAATACTTGTGTAACATCAATGGGATGGTGTGTGTGTGTGTGTGTGTGTGTGTGTGTGTGTGTGTGTGTGCCAGTGCTGGGGCTTGATCTTAGGTCCTGGGCACTGTTCTAAGCTCTTTTGCTCAAGGTTAACACTCTACCATTTTGAACCACAGTGGCTTTTTGGTGGTTCCTTGGAGATCAGAGGCCCACAGACTTTCCTGCCTGGGCTGGCTTCCAACCTCAGTGCTCAGATCTCAGCCTCCCGGGTTGTTGTATGACAGGTGTGAGCTCATAGCCCAGTTTCAAGTGCCTTTGAAAGCTGAGATCTACAAGGCCCTGTCCCCCTCCCCACCGCAGGTTTCCTGAGGGGCTACTTAGCTTAGAGAGTGCTGGGAGTTGACAACCAACAAGGAGAAGCAGTGACACACCGCTGATGTGACTGTCCCTGGGGAGTGACAGTTCTGAGGTGGCAGCCGCTTTGACCCCACATCCCATGCACATTTTCCAGCTGGCAGGCGGGTAGACACCCAATCCCTGCAGCCAGCACTGATCCCTGGTGGTGGCAGCTGTGCCCCCCTCTACCCAGCCAGGAAAGAACAAAGAAAGGACCAGAGGTGATGCATGCACACATTCAGGTAAACATGCATGCATTCATTCACTCTGAGTGGCCTCTGCCCCAACTTGCCACTCAGCAGTACTTTTACTAAAGGTCCTGGCTGCAGCCAGGGGTTGGGAAGCACCACTTCCTCCTGAACACCTGGTCCCCCTCAGTGAACTCCTGGTAGATCACATGCCAGTGCTGGAAGGGGAAGATGCAGGGTGTGTTGCCTGTGGAGGGTGGGGGTGCTTCTTAGCTGCACATATGAGCACATGCCCGCGCACCCGCACACGCACACATGCATGCTCTGCATTCCCAGTGTTCTCCTTGACACATGACCCCCTGGTCTGCCAGTTCCTTGTATTCACCAGAAGCTTTTTGGTTCCCAGCCATGTTCCATGACAATTCTTCTCCTTGAAATCATGCCTCCAAGTAACATCAAAATCATCCTTTTCATTTTAATATACCATAGAGCTCCTCAAAAAACCAGTGTGTGTGTGTGTGTGTGTGTGGTGTGTGTGTGTGTGTGTGTGTGTGTGTGTGTGCCAGTTTGGGTGCTGTCCCTAGCTGTTGCACTCAAGGCTGGAGCTCTACCACTGACCCAGCTCTACCATTGGGTCTTCAATAATGAGCTACTATACTGTTCCCATGCAAGAGGCTGGAGGGGGCACAGGCCTGGTCTTTCCCATGTAACCACAGACCCATCTGCTCACCTGATTTGGGGTAGGTCACCATGATGATGTCCTCATCCTTCAGCACCAGCTCCTTGTGGACTGCTTTTATGACTTCAGGGTAGAAATCCGCAGCAGGGAAAGGAATGTCCTGGTACCACACGTAGTCCTGAGCCATAGCAGAGCCCTGCGTGTCTGGTTATTGATCACGGGCCACTGCCACCCGGGAGGGTGTGGCAGAGTCTGGATTTTCATCCCAGCTGGGTGAAGGCAATCATTACAATTTTTCATTTACTGTGAAGCTAATGAGGGCAAAGTAAACAAAACAAACACGATTGTCACCTGGGGATTTTTATTGGGCAACTGTGAAATCATTCAAGGGCGATCTATGCTTGTAGGGAACAGAACTACAAGAGGAATTAGAAGGAAATATGCTTTGGCAAAGGTTTTTCTTAATTTTTTAAAAATCTTTTGACTCTTTTATGTTGAGAATAGGTGTATATATCACAAAAACTCAAAGAAGGAGGCTGGACTTCTGCCTCAAGGCCCTAAGTTCACTTCAGTAATGTCGCCACAAAATCCTAGCCCAAAGTACACAATGTATTTTCCTTCCATGTTTTCTGTTTCCCCCAGGATCTCCATGCCCCAGAATCTCAGCCATGATCCTTGTGTCATGATCCCCATGGTTCCTAAGGCTCCTGGAGGCCAGGAGATTTTCTCAGACTTCCTTTCTTTGTCCTGACCTTGCAGATTTGAGCAAAACCAAATACTTCTCTAACACCACTGGGATGTGGGGTGTGTGTGTGTGTGTGTGTGTGTGTGTGTGTGTGATTATGTGGATGTGTATGCGTGTGAGGATATGTGTGTCTCTGCCAGTCCTGGGGTTTGATTTCAGGGCCTGGGTGTTTTCTCTGAACATTTTTGCTCAAGGCTAACACTCTGCCACTTTGATCCATATCATTACTTCTGTGTTTCTGGAAATAGGGGTCTCATGGACTTTCCTGCCCAGGCTGGCCTTGAATCTCAATCCTCAGATCTCAGCCTCTTGTGTAGCTAGCATGACAGGCATGAGTCACCAGCTTCCAGCTTTGTAAGATTTGTTAATAGCTGGGATGCTATACATGGCAGAGTGGCACCATGGAGATTTGTATCAGACAAGTGATCAAATTTACAATGTGAACATTCTAACCACCAGAATTAAGTGACAGATCTACACTCTGACCCCAAGGAGACACAAGTCTTCATCTCCACAGACACAGGGAGAAGTCTGGACTTAGTCCCACAGGAGTATCTCTGGAAGAAATCCTTCCATCTTCTTTTGGAATATTTGGTCAAAGGCTTCGGCCTGGGCTACGGTCAAGTGGTTCTTCCAGTCCCCTACAATGCCTGGAGGCCATGGAGAAATATTGACATCAGACAGAGCAATGGGTATGTAGGGCCCAGCCCACCGCCTCCCTGTCCCGGCCCTGCCTTCCATCTGTCATGGACATGGAAGCTCAAAGGGAAGAATTCCAAGAAAAACTGTGTGAATGCATGCAGATATGCATGCAATTATGTGTGTTTGCTTGTAGGTGTGCATGTATGCATACGCACATTTGTGTGTACATATGCCTGTGTATATGTGTGTGTGTGTGTGCAAACACTGGGCCTGGGGGCTGTTTCTGAGCATTTTTGTGCAACACTGGTGCTCTGCCACTTGAGTCACAGCTCCACTTCTGGCTTTTTGCTAGTGAATTGGAGCTAAGAGTCCCACAGACTTTCCTTGCCTGGCTTAGCTTTGAACCTTGATCTTCAGATACTAAGTAGCTGGGGTTATAGGCATGAGCCACTAGTACCTGACCAACAAAGAAGTTTACCAAGATCTCAGTGAATTCAATGATGGATTTGGTGTTGTCCAGCCCTAAAATCTCTGAGGAAAATCCTTCCATAGAGGAGAGCAAACAGAAGATAGAACATCAGAGTTTAGGGGTCGGGGAGGTGCATGCAAACAGGCAATGAAGAAACAGGAAGGTAGAAAGAAGTAAAAATGGAACATGAGTAAGCAAAAACAAAACAATGGGCCATAATGAAGACACCAAACCTAAGAAACACAGGCCTAGCAGAAACAGAGGATTTCAATGTGGTCCCCAAGCCCTTCCATTTCACAGGGGAATCTCTGGATAATAGAGACACAGGTGGTAATTTTCTGCCAAAAACTCTAAGGCTTCAACCAAGAAGAAATAGAATAGATAAATCAATATGGCTGCATAAAATTAAAACGTTTCTGCTCAAAAAACAAAGATAAAACAATACCAACAGGAAAACAAAAACAATTTTCAGAATGGGAGAGAATCTTCACCAGCTGTTCAGTGGATGGAGGGCAAATATCTAGAATGGACAAAGAGCTTAACGTTGTACAGACAATTATTAGATGGGCAATGAAATTGAAAAGCTATTCTGAGATGAAGAAATAAAAATGTCTAATAGATACATAAAGCCAGCTGGGCACTGGTGGCTTACACCTGTCATCCTAGTGACTCAAAGGGTTGAGATTGGAGGATGGAGGTTTGAAGCCAGCTCTGGGAAGTTCATAAGACTCTGATCTCCAATGAACAACCAAAAATCCAGAAGTGGAGTTGTGGCTCAGGTGGTAGAGGGCCAGCCTTCAGTAAACATTTTAAAACGGGGGACAACAGCCAGGCCCTGAGTTCAAGCACCAGGATCGACATACACCTTAAAAACAAGCCAAAAAGGAAGAAAAAAGCCCATAAATCCATATTTACAAAGCAAGGATATACTAAAAATTTCCTTTGTGGTCTCTGACAGATCTTTAAACCCCAGCGATTCCATACCTTTCCTGGTCATTAAGACTTCAGCAGAAGAGAAATTCTTGCTCAGCAGGCTGTGATTGGACATCTTGTTTTCCTTCATGGCCTGGAAGGAGCTGTTCTCCAAGACCAAGTCTAGCTCTTCAGGGTCCAACTTCTTCCCCAGGAACTGACAGATCTTCTCCACAGTGCTCCTCATGTCCTGCAAGAAGGAAAAAGCAGGACACCACACAGAGCATCTCTCAGGAGGAAGGAGGTGTGGAGAGAGGACAAGAAGGGACAAACAGCCAAGTGCCATGACAGACTCGTGTGTCAGAGGCTGAGCTGGGAGCAAGAAGGGAGGAAGGGATGAAAGCAGGATAGGAAGGAGGACTGGAAGGATTTGATCCAAGCACCAAGCACCGGGATGTCATTTTATGGTTCGTTGCATGGAGCCAAGACCTGGTGTCTGCCTCCTATAATCCTAGCTACCCAGGAGGCTGAGATCTGAGGATTACAGTTCAAAGCTATTGGGGGCAGGAGGGTCTGAGAGACTCTTATCTCCAAAAAAAAACACAATAGGAAACAGGAAGGGGCACTGTGGTTCACTGTGGTAGAGCATTAGCCTTGAGCAAAAAAATCTAAGTGAACAGGCCCAGAGTTCAAGCCCTACTATGGACAAGAAAGAAAGAGAGAGGGGCGGGCACATTTGTACAATTATGAAGTGATAATTTGACAATTATAAAGATCAGGTATTATAGTGTCCCAAAGCTTATGTTTGAGCAACACAGATTTCTTTACTATCTCTGTGTGTGTGCGCGCGTGCGTGCATGTGTGTGTGTGTGTGAGTTGTTTGAATTCAGGGTTGGGTGCTATCCCTGAGCCTTTGTGGCTCAAGGTTAGCTAGCACTCTACCACTTGAACCATAGCTTCATTTCATTGGAGGTAAGTATTTTATGGATTTGCCTGCCCAGGTTGGCTTTGAACTGTCATCCTCAGATCTCAGCCTCCTAATAGCTAGGATGGGGAAATTTGACTGGTGGAGCGGGGTCTATGAAGAAAGGGAGATGTGTGTCAGTGTTGAGAGGGCTGTGGGGTGAGGTGAGTGGAAAATGGATCTTTACCTTCTTCAGAGCCTCATAACTGAGCACCAGCACGTTCTCTCTCTCCCTCATGGACATCCAGCCCTGGACATGTGCAAACCATGACCCATAAGGCACTGCAGGGTGGGTAATAAGGGACAAATAATCAACTCCTGGATGTCCAGATGTGGTCTATGATCTATACACGTTTCCTCTGTCACTATCAACTTCCTGCAGGTATAGTTGACAAAGAAAATTCTTGTGCATGTTACAGATTAAAATATCATATTCAGCTGGACACCAGTGGCTCATGCTTGTCATCCTAGTTACTCAGGAGGCTGACATCTGAAGATCATGGTTCGAAGCCAGACCATGAGGCTCTTATTTCCCATAAACCACTAAAAAGATGGAAGTGGAGCTGTGGCTCAAGTGGCAGATTGCTAGATTTGAGTAAAAAACCTGAAGGAAAGTGTCCAGGCCCAATTCAAGCCCCAGAACTGGTGTGTGCACATGTGCATGCGTGTGCGCATGCACACATGCACGCACGCACACACACACACACACACACACACACACAATGTTTAGATCGTCTCATGTCAAAACCCACTCACAGTTGCCTTCGATGAACCATTCCAAAAACTCCTGAAGTGACCGTGGATTTTTTATGTACTTTGATCCACTACCAGAATGATATCCGGACACAAGGACATCCTTTGGATTTCTGATGACATAGATCACCTTGAAAGGAGAAAGCAGAAAAAAAATTTCCATCTTTCCCGTGCATGAGGTCTTAATCTCTCCTCAGACAAGGTCTACATGATGGGACGAATATCAAAGGATCAACAATCTTGCTCAGTGTCTCACTAAGAACACTAATTGTTTTTCTGTTTGTATGTACCAGTCCTGGGGCTTGAACTCATGACCTGGGCACCATCCCTGAACTTTTTTGCTCAAAGCTAGTGCTCTATCACTTGAGCTACAACTCTACTTCCAACTTTGGTGGTTCATTGGAAGTGAGAGTCTCACGGATTTTCTTGTTCAGGCTGGCTTTGGATTGGGATCCTCAGAACTCAGCCTCCTGTCAAACTCATGGAAATTAAACAGCACACTGCTAAGCAACATATCAGACAAGGGTCTAATATCCATTATACACGGGGAACTCAAGAAACTAACCCCTCACAAATCTAACAAACCAATCATGAAATGGGCAAGGGAACTAAAGAGAGCCTTCTCAGAAGAAGAAATAAAAATGGCAAAGAAACACATGAGGAAATGTTCATCATCCCTGGCTATAAAAGAAATGCAAGTGAAAACAACCCTGAGATACCACCTTACCCCAGTCAGAATGGCCCACTTCCTAAAGTCAGCCAACGACAAATGTTGGAGGGGATGTGGAGAAAGAGGAACCCTACTGCATTGCTGGTGGGAATGTATACTAATACAACCACTTTGGAAAACAGTCTGGAGATACCTCAGAAAGCTAAATATAGACCTTCCCTACGACCCAGCCATACCACTTCTAGGCATCTATCCTGAACAATAGGAACTAGTATACAAGGACACATGCACCTCCATGTTTATTGCAGCACTGTTCACATTAGCCAAGATTTGGAAACAACCCAGATGCCCCGCCACTGATGAGTGGATCCCAAAATTGTGGTACCTATATACAATAGAATATTGTGCAGCCACTAAAAAGGACAAAATAATGGCATTTGCAGGGAGATGGATGGAACTAGATCAGATTATTTTGAGTGAAGTAAGCCAAGAACAAAGAGACAAATGGCACATGGTCTCCCTGATATGTGGATGCTAAAGCCAAAATACAAGAAGATATGGCAAACAGGACTAAGAAACAAAGGACAGCCACCCATTTTGTCATATCATTGCTAA